TCTTAAAATAGAAAAAAAAATCCAAATTTTCAAGTATTGACTCTAAATAAATACTCTCAGTCCTTGAATAATCCCATCTCCTTTGATTATACATCCTTTGTCTGACCTCAGCCAGTTCTTTCAACAGCTAATAACATACCAGAGGATTTAAACCTCATGACCTTTGCTGAGGAATGAGATGCTTTAACTGTAACCCACCTTTACTGTTTCAGGGAAGATTTGGTTGATGTTGAACAATGAGGCATTTTATATTGGGTTTAGCTCTCTGAAATTTCAGCTAATACCATGAAAGAGTTAATTGACTTCTGCAGGTTACAGTCTAAGTTTATCCGGTGTCAGGATTTTCTCCTGACACTGCTTATAGACAAGGTGATAATCTTGTATCTGAAGGCAAATATATAGAATACATCTTAGTGATCCCATGGAGCGGTTTCCCAGGCAACTGTAACATCTTCATCCACAGCAGGGTGCAGGGCTTGCCTGGCCAGCTTCTCTTCATGCTAGAGAGCTTGCAATCAGCAAATGTGCCTTGCCATGTTTTCTGGAGGTTAAAAAAGCAAATATGGTTTGGATGAGGTTTGGATATTTCCTCTTGAAGTTAAGGTCATTCATGGGTCTGGTATTGTCCAGAATAAAGAGTATTTGACTGCTCAGTTTGGAAAGATACGTAGCCCGGTCACAACCTGACAGCTAGGATTGAATGGATGGATGACAGCTTCTGTGAACACAGTGAAACATGCTGCTCAGGGTCCCGAGATGGACAGGTGAACCAGGAACTTCCCCTTTCTAAAGAGAAATATTAGCGATACAAGAGACAAAAAATCCATATGGCTAAAATTAGGAAGGGGAGAATCAAAAGATCACTTTATGCAGAGGAAAAAAAATAGTAAAAGCATTTTGTTCTTGTACTGCATTCATTCTTGCAGAAAATGGAACTGACCTCAGAAGGATAGTGGAGAACATGAAGTCTGCATGAACATGGTGTGCTCTTCTTCAAAATTCATCCCCAGCCCCTATTTATGCTACGCCACCCCAAATGTGTCAGCAGGGCTGTGGGAGACGTTGTAGGTTAGAAAATAGCCCTGGGAAATTCAAAGTTATCAGGCTCTGTGTTTCCTACCTCTGACATTTGGAACAGAAATAGGCAGCTTACAGCTTGTGAACTACAGGGACTGTAAAGCAATTTGATGTGGCTTAAGAACATAGTGTGTAATTTGGCACTGAAAACTCACACGTTGACTCTGAGATGCACACCAAGAAACCACAGTGGGGCTGAACTGTGAATCATTCCAGGGAAATGGGAAATCTTTGGGTTGTGCCTCTTGGTCATGTCTTTGATGCGCAGTTATCAGTATCTGAGCTAGCTTGGTATGCCCGCAGTATAGACATGCCCTAAGGCCACAAGCTTCAACACTTTCAAAGAGCACATGTTAAGACTCTGCCCTTATATCAGAAGCCTGCAATGAGTTGAGTCAGGGTATTCTAACTCCTGCCTTGTTGGCTTAGATGACACTGATATTATGAAATTTGGCAAGGCAGAGAACTGTAGGGTTATCTGAGTTTCAAGGGATCTCTTATATGTAATATGGTCTTCTTGTTCCTGCTGTGGTAAAGAAACTGGGAACTGTGTGAGCTTTGCTTTCTTAATTGCTCATTCATAATTTGTTGTACTAGTCTGGAGCATCTCAGATCTCATGAAGTAATGATGAAGGGCAGGCCCACACTGGGCACTGGAGCCCTGTGCAGAGATCCATGAGCTAGTGGAGACGATGCTCACTGCAGCACCAGGAGAAGCATTACCTTGTCCCTGGGGCATGGTCCCTATGCCCATAAACCCCACTGAGATGGCGTGGGTCCCACCATACTCACGTGATTATTCAGCATTGAGGACCAGGCGAGCGATGCATGTGGTGCTTCCATGGAGTGTTAATTCAGGTGTGTTCCTTGCTGCTGCACAGTCGAGTCCTTCAGCTCCCAGTGCTTCTTGCTTTTAAAAAGAGGCCCTCAGCCCCTTTGAAACTTATACGCTGTCTATCTTCACTCTTCACAGCTGGAATTTGCTCAGTGTTTATTGAAAAGTGCAATACTGAAGTCCATCATGTAATTTTTTCAGTGTACTTATGTGATGGGAATTGGGTTTAAAAGCATGAACTTTTACTGATCAAATGAAAGAACTAGCTGTCAGCAGGCAGGCTCTTTGGAAGGAAGAAAGAGTCACAGGGGGTTTTGTGGACTACATGTTTGCTTATGGCAGTCTATATAGTGTCAAGCTGAATGGAGGGCTGGTCCTTTTCATGTACTGTGTCTGCAACGCTTTTCCTGTGAGGCTGGAGCAATGAAACTCTGTAGTAAGTAGCTAGAGTATATCCACTGTCCTGTCCATAGAGAACAATCCTGATCCTCAGCAATTGTGGGCTTTCCTATTCCCTGGAGAGTGAGGTTATATTAGCTTTCCTAATATTGGATTTTGTGTTTATTCATAGTAATCTCTATTCTTAATTAAGCATTGCAGTTGATTACATCCAAAGCTAGCAGCTGTGGGAAGGGGTATGGATTGGAGAAAAATCTGAAGCCCCTGATGCTAAAAGGGGAATTCACAAGGTGGAGACAGGGAGAGAGATGAGGTTTGTAAACTAGGTATTAATGCAAGTAATAGAAGAATAAGGGAGGCAGATATAACTTCCTGAGGAGTTATATCATGCGGTAAAACATAATAAGTTATGAAGAAATGCTTGCACAGAGCAAGAAAAATCCAGTCAGCTGCAACAGGTTTTCAGTGAGAAAACCAAAACTACTTCTGTCTTTTGGCATGTGATATTTTTGGATGAAGCCTTTTATAAGAGAAGGAGAACATGAGGGGAAATCAGGCCTCTCGGTAGCTTATGTTCAGACAAAAGGTATGTCAGCTTGGGCACAGAATTGTATGACAGCAACATTACTTCTCTCCTACTTGAGGACCTTTATAAGCAGCAATAGTCACCAAGTAATGAGCCAGTGCTGGCATTTTGCAAGGTAGTGAAGCTCCTTGCTGTCACTCATGGAGTACCAAAGGTACCGAGCAGTACCTGATACCTCGGTACCATCTGTGTCTCAGCTGCCTGTAGAGCAAGGCAGACTCGTAGTTTGATTTTATCTTCCTACCAGCAAATTTGAAAGCACGGGTATATTCACAATGTGCAGCTTGCTCTAGGGTTCAGTGCCTATTTGATTTCTGTTCAGTAGGTCATTACAGAGAAGACCCTTCCTATCAAAAGGCTTTTGTGGAAAAGGATGGCTCCTTTAAAGAAGCTGCAGTATCCTTGTTTATTTAAGTGGCACAGACAAGTAGAAAGAAAATAGCAGTGAGTTAAAAGAGCACGAAGAACAGATGGAAAACGCTCTGCATTTTGGAGAAAAAAGGTGTGTCCTTTCACCTCCTATAAATGATGACTGCTGTTCCAGATGTAACCACTTACTTCCTGAAGGTACTTTAGGTCTCGTGTCACAAAATTAAACTGGCATCTTACTGTTCTACAGAAATGCCAAGAGCCTATCTGTGGAACAGCTGAGATTTCTCCCTCGCAAATGTTGCCTGTTCAGAAGGAAATGAGCCACCCCTGAGTTGTGATTTGGATATTTTCTCATAATTTTGTGCCAAGCAAGAGGTAACTTTGCTTCTCTCCTGGCTGATCAGACCAGGACTGTTTGTAGATGAAATGAGACTGTTGACAGATGTTGTGCATCCAGCTGACCTGTTTTCCACCCTGAAGGTTACTCCAGATTGCATAAAAACCTGCTCAGGTGTGAGCAATTCATGTCTT